GAGATAATGAGGGACTTCTGACTATTTTAGAAGTGGGAAGTGACTTGGACAGTTTCTTTCAATTTTAGGAAGGATAACCTGCTGGTGCGGGTTGGCCTAAGAGGGTCTGAAGAAAAGAGACTAGGCCTGGGAGCTGAGTTGGTGATTGTGATTGTAGCTACAGGAAGGAAGGCAAGCATTGAGAGCCATCAGGGCAGTGCAGGTGTGAAAGGTAGGGACATGGGTACTTGGAGCTGGCCAGAAATGTAACTCTAATGCTTCTCTGGGTGACACCCCTTCATGGATGATCCATGAAGTATTCTTTTTTTGAGGCAGAGGCTGCCTCATGACACAAATATTATCACAAATTTCTGACACTTTTCTCCCTCTCACCTTTTGCCACCTTCTTGCTTTTGATCTCCTTGTTGAAAACTGAATGCTTGTGATGTTTCTTTCTATAGGTGCATTTCTTTGCATTTCACTCTTGTCCACCACATGCCTCCTCCTTGCCTATAGTTCTGCTCTTCCAGATCAATTGGTTTGACTTTCCTGGCACAGGGGCACCTTTAGAATTTGTGCCTTTTACAAATCCCTTTATCATCTTAGATGCTCCTCTCCCTGAGCACCAGTAAGGTCGTTACATAAGATCTCCAGGTCGGCCAAGGAAGCGGACAGCTGCTGAGGCCTCACAACCTCCCCAAAGGGTGATGCTGTCATCCAGGAGAGAGAAAGTGACACTCCATCGCCTGACCACATCGGCATCTTAATGAGTTATTCTGCTCAATCATGGTCTGGACCTTGGAATTCCTGCTTCCCTCTGATCTTTCCTACCAATCATTAAGAGTTTCAATCCCTAATTTCAGTCTTTCCCCTCAACATAGTTACATTACTGGCAGGGGTTCTGAATTCTGATGATTATTCGCCAGGTCCTCCCACTGACCTTGAGGGAAAATGGTTTATTCATCTTGTAAATAACCAGTGACTCTCTGTGGAATAACCTGGAAGCGATTGGAGGGGGTATCTGTCTAGATAGAAAATTGGAGGTGTCTGGTTTCCATTCCCTGAGGAAGGGGAGTTGGCAATACTTAGCTCTCTTATGATAAGCTCCCTGATGTCTGCATTAATCAGGGTAGGGTCAGACGTATGCAGAGACCAAAAGCCTCCAAGGCTTGGCTCTCTTCTGAAGGTATCTGCGACCACATTTTGAATTTTACCTGACAAGTATCAAGAAACTCATTCTGACCTAGACCTCATTGTACCCTCCAGCCTGATGTGTTCCACAGCGCAAAGGTGTGGATCCAGGGACTTCTATATCAGGCTGACTCACTCTCTGCAAATCAATAAATCTCCAACTTGTATTTTCCTTTCCTTTCTAATATCATTTTTCTCTAACTTTTTACTGCTATTTCCACTGCTACCATCATGGCTCGGGACCATACAAATTTCAAAGGGACAATTTATTCAGCCCACAAATATTTATTGAGTATCCATCATGGGGCAGACACTCTTCTGGGTCCACAGGGTACAACATTAAAGAAAAACAGAGCCAAAAAGGAAAAACAGAGCCAATCTCTGCTTTCAGGAGGTTCATGTCCTAGTAGGGGCAGGAGGAAAAACAAAAATACAAACATCAATGGGGCATCTGGTGGTGATATACACTAAGGACAGTGCCATAGGGTGAGGAGACACAATGTGGCAGACGGAGTGTTCTGGATAAGCTGATCAAAGAAGACTTTCAATTAGGAGGGAGTTTGAGCTGAGACCAGACTGAATTAAAGAATTGATCCATGTGGATACCTGGGGAACAAGTGTTCAGGCAGGAGAAAGCCAGTGGAAAGTCCTTGAGGTTGGAATGTATTTGGCATATTCAAGGTAGAGGAGGGAGATGAGTGTGGCTTGAGATAAGGAAAGGGTGTATAGAAATGGAAACAGGAATGGAGGGAATGGGGTCACAGAGGGCAGACCAGAGGCCATGACAGTTTTGCTAAGCGAATTAAGCAGCAGTGTTTTGAGCAGAGGAAACATGGCCTGGTTTATGTTTTATTGATATGATTCTGGCTGCTTTGAGGGGAAAGGTACATGGGCCAGATGTGAAGAAGGGGTACTGTTTATGAGGCCACTGTAGGGATCCAGATGAGAGACCATGAATGGTAGGCTGGCCCAGAGATAATATGGGTTATGCTGAGTAGTGAGAAATGGTTTGATGAGCCATACTCCAGCCTCCCTCTGGCTCCCAGGGTCAGCATAGATTGGTCCAGGCTGCGTGGTGTTGAAATTTTTGACCACTTAGGTGACTCTTCTTGGTCCCGGGCCCTTAATCACTTCACAACACCCTGTTGACCTCAGCATGCTGCCTCCCATCCTGAATTAGTGCTGTCTTCACAAATGTACTGCTCTCATCTGCCTCTGGGCACTTGCCTCTTCTGTTCCTTGTATCCTGCTTATCCCACTGGGAAGCTCTCCTTTCTCCTTCCAATATTACCTCAGTACCACCTCCTCTGGGACATCTTCTCAAGCCCTTCAGGTGAACATAAGAGTTCCCAATGCCCAGTGCATGCCCCTCCCCGTCGTGTTTATTGGATATGTTGTAATTATACAGGCTCATGTTTGCCTCCGTGGGAAACTGAGAGTCTCTGATGGGCAGAAGCCATAGCTTAATCCTGCCTGTTTTCCTTATGCCCTGCCCATAGTAGGTTTGAATGTGTGGATGAAGAAGCAGAAGAAAAAGGCAGAACTGAATATTTCATTTTAAACCACAGCAGGCTAAGGCTAACTTCTGAGACCCTTGAGATTTTAGGACTTGAAGCCCCTTGAAGAACATTTCCCTCCAAACTCCATCACACAGCTTTTCTGGGGAGCCCTAATACCATTGTTCCCCTAACAAAGCAGCATCAGTAAGAACCTGCCATGGCCTCCCTGAGGGTTATCTGTGGAAGACAGGCTCTTCCTTCTACAGTGATTTTCTGAATTAGAAGCAGGATAGTATGGCAGCACTGCATAGCTCTGTGCACTTGGGAGAAGGGTTCACAGAGACTGTTGCCTGGGCTCAGCACATTCTAAGTGCTCATAAAATATGGCAGGAAGGAAAAATAGGGAATTAAAAAATGAAGAAAGGAAAGGAGGATGGGAAGGAAAGAAGAAAGAGGGGGAAAGGAGGAAAGGGAGGGAGGGAAGGAGGGAGGGAAGGAGAGAGAGAGGGAAAAGAGGGAAGGAGACAAAGAGGAAGATGGGGTCAAAAGGAAAATAGTGGGTTGGGATGGGCATAGTCCAAGGCAAATAAAAGTCCTTATCTGCCGGGCTCGGTGGCTCAGCCTGTAATCCCGTGCCTTTGGGAGGCTGAGGTGAGCGGATTGCCTGAGCCCGCGGG